AGGCACTCCCATTTCTTTAAGAACTTGCCAAAGTTTGCTGTGGTCCACACAGTCAAAGGCTTTTGTGTAGTCAATGAAGCAGAAGTAGAGTTTTTTCTGGAACTCTCTGGCTTTCTCCATAATCCAGCGCATGTTAGCTATTTGGTCTCTAGTTTCTCTGCCACTTCTAAATCCAGCTTGTACTTATGTGACTTCTTGGTGCACATAGTGCTGAAGCCTACCTTGTAGGATTTTGAGCCTAACCTTGCTAGCGTGTGAAATGACTGCAATTGTACGGTAGTGGGAGCATTCTCTGGCACTGCCCTTCTTTGGGATTGGGATGTAGACTGATCTTTTCCAATCCTTTGGCCAGTGCTGAATTTTCCAAAGTTTTTGGAATATTGAGTGTAGCACCTTAACAGCGACATCTTTTAAGATTTTAAATAGTTCAACTGGAATGCCATCACATCCACTGGCTTTGTTGTTAGCCTAAGGGCCACTTGACTTCACTCTCCAGAATGTCTCGGTCAAGGTCAGCAACCACACTATCTGGGTTGTCCGGGACATCCAGATCTTTCTGGTATAATTCATCTGTGTATTGTTGCCACCTCTTCTTGATGTCTTGTGTTTCTGTTAGGTCCCTACCATTTTTGTCCTTTATCATGTTCATCTTTGCACAAAATGTTCCTTTAATATCAACAATTTTCTTGAACAGATCTCTAGTTTTTCCTTTTCTATTCTTTTTCTCTATATCTTTGCACTCTTCATTTAAGAAGGCCCTCTTGTCTCTCCTTGCTATTCTTTGGAAGTCAGCATTCAGTTTTCTGTAACTTTCCCTATCTCCCTTCCATTTTGTTTCCCTTCTTTTCTCTATTTATAAGGTCTTGTTGGATAGCCACTTTGCTTCCTTGCATTTCCTGTTGTTTTGGGGGGATGGTTTTTGTTGCTGCCTCCTGTACAATGTTACAAGCCTCCATCCATAGTTCTGCAGGCACTCTGTCCACCAAATCTAGGTCCTTAAATCTGTTCTTCACTTCCACTGTGTATTCATAAAGGATTTGGTTTAGATTATACCTGACTAGCCCAGTGGATTTTCCTACTTTCTTCACTTTAAGCTTGAGTTTTGCTATAAGAAGCTGATGATCAGAGCCACAATCAGCTCTGTTTTTCCTGACTATATAGAGCTTCTCCATCTTTGGCTGTAGAGGACATTTTGATATTGCCCATCTGGTGATGTCCATGTGTAGAGTCGCCTCTTGTGTTGTTGGAAAAGAGTGTTTGTGATGATCAGCCTGTTCTCTTGACAAAACTCTATTAGCCTTTGCCCTGGTTCGTTTTGAACTCCAAGGCCAAACTTTCCTGTTGTTCCTTTTATCTCTTGACTCCCTACTTTAGCATTCCAGTCCCCTATAATGAGAAGAACATCTTTCTTTGGTGTCAGTTCTAGAAGTTGTTGTAAATCTTCATAGAAATTGTCAATTTCAGCTTCTTCTGCATCGGTGATTGGTGCATAAACTTGGATTACTGTGATGTTGAAAGGTCTGCCTTGGATTCGTATTGAAATTATTCATTTCATCATTTTTGAGATTGTATCCCAGTACAGCTTTTCCCATTCTTTTGTTGACTATGAGGGCTACTCCATTTCTTCCAAGGGATTCTTGCCCAAAACAGTAGATATGATAACCGTCTGAATTGAATTCGCCCTTTCCCGTCCATTTTAGTTCACTGACGCCCAGGATGTCAATGTTTATTCTTGCTATCTCCTGTTTGACCACATCCAGCTTACCAAGGTTCATAGATCTTACTTTCCAGGTTCCTATGCAGTATTTTTCTTTGCAGCATCGGATTTTCCTTTCACTTCCAGGCACGTCCACAGCTGAGCGTCCTTTTGACTTTGGCCCAACCATTTCATTAGCTCTGGAGCTACTTGTACTTGTCCTCCGCTCTTTCTCAGCAGCATGTTGGACGCCTTCCGACCTGAGGGGCTCATCTTCCAGCATCAGATCTTTTAGCCTTTTTTCCCTGTTCATAGGGTTTTCTTGGCAAAGATACTGGAGTGGTTTTCCAGTTCCTGCTCCAGGTGGATCGTGTTTAGTCAGGACTCTCCAGTATGACCTGTCTGTCTTGGGTGTCCCTGCACAGCATAACCCATAGCTCCTGAATTATTCAAGCCCCTTCGCCATGACAAGGCAGCAATCTGTGAAGGGGATAATGCACTCTAGGTACTATTAATTTGTACAGCTTATAGACCCAGTATTCTGAATGTGGTGACATAGGCTACCATCCATGGAACCAATACATATGCTACAATACATTGCTGTTATGGGGCAACAGCAATCTTTGCCTCTTATCTACACATTTGCTTCACATAGATAAGACATAGACACATAGACACATGGATAAGACATAGACTTCTATGCCTTCTAGAGTAAGCAAAAACAATTAAACCATATATGTTGCTTTCGCTCATTCCTAAAAGTAACTCTACAAACTCTGCTTTAAAATATGTTTTGCACCACTTATTGAGCCAATCAAGCACAGCAGTTGTATCTGCTCATTACAGAAATCTTTTGGGAAATTCCTGAAAGTGTTTATGGTCATTGTTATAATTTATTCTACTCCAGGAAAATTAAGGAAGAGTCAAAACTCAAGATAATTATTTCTTGGATTAGTAAAGTCTTGGGGTAAGAATGGATTTTAGAAATCTAAATTAAAATATGTCATCCTTTAATCTTCAGACTTGGCAGATTTCAGAACTACTAATGAAAATAGCAAATAATCAGCAAAACTGAAAGCATGAAACAGTAACAGCCAAGTTTCTGAGTAGTAAATTCACATAGCTTGAGAACGTGGAAGAAGGTTATTCCAAGAAGGT